GCCGCAGCCCCACGGAATGCATACAGTACAGCACGGCATACGGCACGCCGCAGCGGCGTAGCCGGGCGTAGCGGGGCACGTGAAACCCGAGCGCCGCATAGAAATCGCGCACTCGGCGCGCCGAATCATGCAGTGCACCGCACTACACTGCGCAAGGCGGCGCGATGTCGGGCGGACGAGGGTCCCGGAGGGTCCCGCACAATGGAGCGAGCCCCGCGCGTTTGCGGAGGATGATTTCGGCGCGCAAAACAAACAGACGCGGACAAACGGCGTACGGACGAGTGTCCTTCTCTGCCCACTACGAGGAGTGCGCGCGGAAGGGGGACGGCCGAGTGTGCATTCATCTATCCATCCATCCATTCATTCAGGCTTGCATCACCGTGCGGCGGCACGCCACCCGCCCACGCCCACGCCGCCCATCAGGGGCACGACGGGCACGTCGTGAGAGCGCCGTCATCCTCATCGCCGTCGTCCTCATCGCCGCCGTCGCTCTAGTCAGCGTCGCGGGTCGGCCAGCTCGGCATGCAAAGGCTCCTCGCCATCGCCATCCTCGCCAAGATCCTCGCCCCTCCGCGACACCGCGACTCCGGGACCACCCAGGCGTCCGTTTCCGGTTCCATACTTCACCGCGAGGAATGGCGGGAATGGCGCGCGCGGCGACCGGTGACGTCACCGCCACGGCGTCAACGAACTCGGGCCGCTGGGCCCCGCCGCCGTGGCCGCCGTACTGGCCGCCGAGCTGGAGGCGCGAGGCGCGAGGCGATCCGAGACGGTACGAACCGAGAAGCGAGGCGGTGGCGGTACCCAAGGTCAGGCCAGGCCGCCAGGCCCCCCTGCCTGCCTACGTTTAGGACCGGAGCATTCCACACGGCAGGCAGGGAGCGTCGCCACAGCGCGCGGGGCGGCGCGGGGCCAACGGGGAGGGAGAGAGATAGAGAGAGAGAAGCGCGAAGGCGTTGATTCATAATGAGAAGCGCCAAGATCGCCGTCAGTGAGAAATGGCCGTCAGAGCGACGTCGATTCGACATAAAACCGACGACATTAACGCCAATTCGCCGTCAACTCGAATACGTTAGCGTCGAATCAACATCGAATCGAATCGGTTAGTGTCAATTCAACGCTACATTGAATCGGTTGGCGTCGATTCGATATTCAACGTCGAATCGATTCGTTCGACGTCGGTCCGAGGTCAAATCGATTCATTTCACGTCCGTTCCCGGGGCCGATCCACTTCAGTTCGACCTCAAATGCCAAAACCCTTATCCCTGTCCGGAAAAAGCTCCACGACGCACAGTAGACCGAGCGCATTTGGAACTTGAAACAAAGAGAGCGCTGCGCTGCGCACACGGCCCGACAGTCAGTACCACCCACCCACACAATCCTGGGAGCATGCACCCGAAAACGAAAACACGCTGGAAACACGAGCGTTCCGTTTCCCCCTTGGGCTTGCCCTCGGGCCCGAATCGCAGAATCGCAGTGTGAATGTGAACCTGAAACGCACGCCGCAGCAGGGCGCCCAACTTGCAGTGCCAAGCGCGGCCAGCACCGGGCACGCAACGAGACAGAGTACTGAGTCTCCGGCCCGGAGCAGCGGCGGGACCTCCTAGGCCCAACAATCCCGGATCGTGAGACTACTGCACTGCGAGCCAGAAAAGGACAGCGAACATGCTTCGGAGAGTCTATGTAGTAGGCAGGGCAGGCCCGCGCCGTACACATCGGTCTAACTCTTGTGTGCCACCAACCTTGCGCCCTTGTGCCCGTTTACAGTGTAGTGTGCAGAAAACCGTCATAAGAGTTTCAGTGTGTAGGTAGGCCACCGCCGGCACGCGTTAGTTACAGTGCACGGTCGCTTGGCCGAGAAAGCGATCGGGCTGGGGAATTGGTGCGATATCTAACCGGGGTGGCCGGGACGCTGTTGCTGCTGCTGCAGCGCGCTGGACGCATAAACAATAGCCGCTTGTTATCGGCCACGTCAAACAAGCCCAGTTTGCCCACGGCGCTGCCCGCCCCACTGCCCGCTGCTCAAACACGCCCGACATGGGAACGGCTCCGTCATGTCCGTTCGAGTCCGATAACCAAAATCTGAATTCGCCAAATCGAACTTTTCTCCGTCGATCGCGCGGCAGCGGCCGTGCCCGTGCGCGCGGGATGGCTCCGCGTGTCGCTCCGTCTCTCTCGCACCCACACGGGACGCCAGGGTCGCCCCGCGAGTGCGAGAGAGACGGGAAGATCGACCGGCCCGCGATGCGTATCGCCCGGCCCGGACAAATTGCCGAGCCGCGCCTTCCCGAGAGCTATTTTTTTTTACGGGTCCTTGCTACGTCTTCGGTCGCTCAACGCCTACGATCGGCCAGCTCACGTGCACGCACTGGCCCATCCATCGGCACGGCACATCACATCCGGTGATTAACATGAGGGGCGCTCCGGGGTGGGACTGCTGGTGCGTGGTTCGGCTGGGCAAACAATAGCCTTCGTCCCGTATCGGCCGTCAATCAGCCTCGTCCAGGCCTGCGCCGCCCACGCCCGCTGCCCCGCCCCCCCGGCGGCCACGTCAGTCGCCCCGCAGCCTCCAATAATCTGTTACAGCCAATCACTCTTTCCGTGACGCGGGAGGGCGTGCCGGGGGGGTGGTGGGCGCCCGCTCTCTGCCCGGGCGTCCCGAGCGACGAGTTAGACGGCAAAGACGGGCATTTGCTTCACAAGATTGCCTAGAGCGGCCTTAACTATTTTTACGGGTCCTTGGCGACTGTCCCTCGGTCGCTACAACGCCTCCCAGCGCGGCCAGGCCACGGCACGGCACGGCACGGCACCGGATCGGAGCGATTCCGGTGATTAATCATACGAGATGGGCGCCGAAGAGGTCCTGAGGAGCTGGGAGCCACCACCTACCCGGGACTGGTGGTTCCGTGGTTCCGGCGGGCACAACTAACCTAGCCAATGTAGCGTGGCCCCACCCGGCCCGGCCCGGCGGCCCACTCCCAGTCCGGCCGTCAAATTACCGGCCACCTCTCGAGCAGGCCGTCCAGGCCGTCGTTCAGCACTTCGGAGGTCCGAGGCGCCGCGCACCTTGCCCGGCCGCCACGGCCCCCACGGCCCCCACGGACACGCCCAAAAACGCGGCCGAGCTGGCAGTCGCCCCGCAGGGCCTTCCAGGCTGCGGTCCTAAAGTAGAGGGACTCCACGAGTGGAAAGCGTTCATAGAAGTAACTCGTTCGGCGTTCCCAACACAGCGCTCTTACTTCCGAACAGTCACTTATCGAAGGAGATGAGCCGAGCCAGGCGGTGCAGGCGGTGCGCACACAAGTCATCTTGCGCCCCAAGCCCGCGGTGTGCTCATTCTTTTCGAGAGTGATTCTGCAATACGTCTACGCGCTCATGGGAGGGCATCGGGAGGGAAATATGCGTCTGTATCTGTGTGTGTGTGTGTGCACTTGTCTGCCAAGTCTGCAGGTAGGGTGTGCGCAGGTACGTATGCTTCAGACGGCCCGAGTGCACCGAGCATGGGGGGAGGCGGGACGAGGCGACCCCGAGCCAGCCCTTTTCATGAATGGAAGCCGCAATCTCGGAACGGCAAGGGTGGCAATCCTGGAGGTGGGAGTGGCACGGAGTGGCACGGAGTGGCACGGAGAACGCCTGGATCGCGATAACATGGGTGTGGTGCAACGCGCGTGCACCCTCACACACGACGCGCACACACACACGGCCCAACAGATCCTTGGCGGCTTGCCGGCCCCGCTCCAGCCCCTGTTGGAGCTCCAGCGCTGGACATCCTCTACTCCTTCGGACAGGGTACCCGGCCACGGGCGGGGCGGGGCGGGGCCCAGGCCGCGTTGCCGGATCGACGCAGGGCCGGGGGAGAAGCCTGCAGCCATGCCATGCCTGGCCATGCCCAGACGAGCGGAGCAGAGGAGCCGGGCCGCGCCGAGTCGAGCCGAGCCGGCCGGTCAGCCGTTGTCGGAGAGAAGGAGAGAAGGAGAGAGAGACGATCCTACCTGAGTTAGTCCCCTTGCTCTTTATTCGTGGAGGCGCGGCCGGCAGGGCACGGCACGGCAGCCCGTACAGGTCTTACTGTCAGAATCGATACCCTGCCAAAAACGGGGGGATCCCGATGCCATTCCTGCAGGGCCGCGCCCCTCACCTCACCTCACCTCGAGGTTCGAGGGCAGCTGGTACCCGCTACCAGTGTACCCAGCGGCCTGCGAAGCCCTTTAAAACCGAGCGCCTGCGCACAGACCAGTGGCGGATCCAGAGCCAGCCGGAGGGAGGGGCAAAGCAGCACTTCTTGCCTACGAACAGAGGCAAAGTGTGACTTTGGCTGTTTAGAGGCCAAGGGGGCCGATTGTGCTTTTGCCTCCGGGATCCGCGCCTGGCAGTGCGTGCGCTCCGCCGGCAGGCAGACACTCATCTCCGTCGTCATCATGATCGGTGGCACCGCAGTACCGCAGTCACACACAGTGGCCGGGTCGTGCGGTTCACTGCGGTTCACTGCGGCCTGGACGTCATTGCCCGGCCGCGGCACGCCACGCCGGCCACGCCACTGCAAGCCGCAGAGCCGCGGGCCGCATGTCGGCGACGTCGGCGTGCATGACAACGACACGACACTGCGAGCACCGCGAGGGCGTCCGCTCCGCGCCTCGGAGGAAAACGGCGTGCCGTGCCGGGACTCGAACCCACATTCAGCCGTGCCGAATCGACCAGGGATATTGCATCACGGTGTGGCGGCCGCGCCGACGAGTAGAGACATGAGACATGAGAGCATGTTTCGGAAGGGAACATGGGCGTCGAAATGAAGGCGGGTCCGTAACTTTGAAAATGGCTTGGCGGACCGGAGGACTATTTTCAGCACGTTGCTCCTCGCGTTGCGTATGGCACGAACTCGACGCATCGACAAGTCTCGACTTGAAAACGCGCTCCCCTTCTGGGAGGACATAGCCGTCCTGCGCGTTTTCCAGTGTGCGGTTCCAACGCCGGCGGCGTCGCGCGGCCTGCCAAGGACGTACCTGTTCAATGGCCCCCTCGCTGAGCACCGACGAGTTGGGCGCGTCTCTATCCATTGTGAAGTTAGATCCTGGTCAGGGTAAGCACTGCACTAGCACACCATTTCACTGGCAGGCGCCACTCGGGCGCACTCTCTCCCTCTCACACAAACTCGCACCCTCACATGTCACCGCGTGGACGTGTTCCCGGGGCAGGGCCGGAACGACGTCGGAACGACGGCCAAGGAACGACCGACCCGTCGGCGGGTTAGGACCGCGGACCCAAACTCAGCGGCGCACGAGAGGGACCGAGAGGGACACGCACACGACGGCACGACGCCGAGGAAGCGACACGACTCCTACTTGTTGCGCTGCGCCGGCCCGCCCGGCACGGCGCGGCCACGGTGCGGCCACGACGGCGGCGCGCTCGCCGGGAGCCCCCCCCCCCCCCCCGGCCCCCCAGGCCCCCCCAGGCCCCCCTCACCCGCCGCCGGCTGCGCGTAGCCGCGCGCCACGTTCCGGCTCGGCTCGGTCGGCCGCTCGGCTCGGCTCGGCTCGGCTCGGCTCGGCCCGGCGGCTTGCCGGCTGGCAGCGGCCACGTCCGAACACGCGCACGCCACCCGGCGCGCCCGTCTCCGTTTGTCTACAGTGCCGGTGCCGACGTTCGCTCTCTCTGCCTCTCTCTCGGAGACAGCCTGGGTGGCCCGGGTCGGGGGGAGCGGGGGAAACTGGCTTCTCCTCTCCGCGGGCGCAGTGCGAGTTGGCGCTCCAGCCGCCAGGGGCGCTGCTCGCCCAAATAACAATAACAACAACGGAGAAGCCGGTCGCTACACTTCAAATCCAGGGTGTCTATAGAAACTATACGCCTTAGGCGTATGCCACAGAAATGGAACTGCCTTAAGGCGCCTTGATTCTACACGCCAAAGGCGTATACCTTATTGAGCACCTTTTGCAGATAGAAGTTAGCATGTGAGCACCATTAGTCGAAGGAAAGGTGCGTGCATTGTACACACCCTGGATCATAGGCACTGAGCTCAACAGGACTCAAGGTGCGTAGAATGTAAACACCCTTTAAGGCCTCGGTAGGCATGGCCTCGGCCAAGGGCGGTGTTTGCATTCAACGCACCTAGAGTCCTGTTGAGCTCAGTGCCTATGATCAGGGTGTGTACAATGCACGCACCTTTCCTTCGACCAATGGTGTTCACATGCTAACTTCTATCTGCAAAAGGTGCTCAATGGGGTATACGCCTTTGGCGTCTAGTTTCAAGGCGCCTTAAGGCAGTTCCATTTCTGTGGCATGCGCCTAAGGCGTAAAGTTTCTAGACACCCTGGATTTGGAGTGTAGGCGTGCGCTGCGCGGCGCTGCGCCCCACCCTCGAGTCTGTCGGCCGGCATCACGTCGTCAGTGAGAGTGACGCGACTTGCGGTGCGAAACGTGAAACGCGCCGAATTGTGCGAGGCGGCGGGGAAGTGCCGGAAAAGCGCGCGAAAGAGCGAGAACGACGTTCAAAGCGCCGGCCGGCCTCTCGCCTTTCGCTCCTCCCTTGGGACTTAGAGGCTATTGGGCGGCCCTGAGGGGGTAGACTCCCTCGCTTTAACAAGGTTCAAAGTTTGCTCTCCCTGTGTGTACCTGCACTGTGCGCGCACTTGCAGTGTGTGCAGAGCAAGCGCGCGGAGCACGACGGTGCGCCGCTGGTGCTGGCTGGCTGGCCGGCGGGGAGCGCCGTGGTGCGGGCGGCTAGGCCACCCAACGTGCACGCCGGTCGCACGGCGTGCCCACCCTGCCGAAGCGCGGCGCTCCACAGCCGCCACACCGACGCCAAGCCCCCTTCTCTTACGCCGTCCACTTTCTCATCGGCAGCCGTGCAGAGCCCCCGGAAGAGGGTTGGGTAGGTCCGGGCCGGTGGGCATTCCGCGCCGATCCCCGAGTGAAATCATCTCATCTCCGCCGACGTAAGCTTAGCGCCTCGAACAGAGAGACCTCTGGAGGTGTTCTCAGTCGGACCAATGAAAGGATAGTGGCTGAACTGATGCAGCCGCTGACACACTGAGAAATGAACGCGCTAAGTGGGGCTTGGGGGGGGCGCTATTTGTCAAAGATTCGGGACGCCGCCGCCTCGCCCCGGGACTGGTACACTGCGACAGGGATTCGCCGCTCCCCTCCGCCTTTCCATTTTTCGGGGCGAGTGTGGCCGACTGCTGGCAGGAGCCCCTCGTTACCCGCCTGGAAGACCGCCAAATATTTGCCGTCGGCATTTGCTTTTTCCAGTCGGAGTGACAGTGCCAGCGGAGCCCAGGCCGTGGAGCCGTGCGCCGTGGCCAGACCGGGGCGGGTGGCGCAAATCCCTCCGCGCTTTTTGCGCATTCACGGCGGCGGCACGGCCAGGGGCGGCAGGAAGGGGGAAAGGGGGGGGGGCACGAGTCCACAAAGCGCGCCCGGCTGAGCTGCACTTTTTCAAGCCAGCTTCTTATCTGCCACATGCTGCGGTAGCACGGTGGTGGGTGTCTGCTATTGGTCGCGCGTCGTCACACGTCACACGGAGAAGTATGAGCAAGTACGAGGGAGGGAGGGGTCTACGGCCTGTTTGTGGGTAGCAGATTCCACTGCCCCAGCACCCAATGCTGAGTCCGGAGGGCTTGATTGAATAGCTGTCTTGTGAACTTGTGAATGTCCCCCCCCCCTCCCTCCCCTTTCCGTCCCCGCTGCCAACGCCGTGGTGCATATGGACAGAGGCACGGCGCCGAGTGCACTGATCCAATTAGTGCCAAGCTCGCCAGCACCGCCGCCATGGCACCACCGCCCCCTCGTCGGGCGCGTCCGAGCGGCGCGGCGACCACCATCGCGGACGCAGCCGAGGCCCTGGCCGTCCTGGCCGCCCTGGCCTGCCCCACGGGGGAGCCGAGCCGAGTCCAAACAAGATTATTCGCTGCAGAAGGAGAAGGAGGAGGAGGAGCAGCGCGGCAAGACGACGCCTACCTTGACTCGCTTGCGCCGACGGCTCGACGTCCTGCTGCCGGCCCTGGAGTGGCGCCGCCGTGGCGAGGACGACGGCGACGACGAGCTCCCCGCCGGAGAGCGCCGCAGCAGGCGCGACACCAGCCCCATGGCCCTTTCGGAGGCGGCAGCGCGGGGTAGCGACGAGAGGCTCGACGGCCACGGCGCGGGGTAGCTCCACTCAGCCGTCACGCAGTCGCACTCGGTGTCGGCGCCATGGGTACCTCAAGGCGCCGTCGGCACCGCAGTCTCGGAGTCCCCCGGGGTCCTCGGGCACCGCGTGCTGCACTGGCGGCCGTCAGGCCCGTCAGCGACTGCAGTTGCAGGGCCCGGGCAGGCAGAGTGCCACACACGGGGGAAGCACTACGGAAGACTAAGGCGACGCCGGGCGACGCGCGCCCTGTGGCCGTAGGCTGCCGTGGGCCGTGGGTCGGGGCGCCCCGTGCCCGCCGCGGCAGGGGAGGGGAAGGGGAGCCGATAATCGCCAGGGGGCGTATCCCGGACGCAGAGACATCACACCAGCCCGTCGGGCTCGCGCCACCGCGCTACACATTTCAACGACGTCATATCCCTGCCCGTCGACAAGCGCCCTGCCGCCCCGGGCGCAGCGCCGTAGACTGATCCCGAGAGTCGTTTTCGTCGCCCTGTCTCTCTCGCACTCATGGGGCGTCCCGTGCAGGTGAGAGTACGACGCCGCGCACCGCTGACGGAGTTGCAAAGTCATAATTGATGCTTCAATTTGGGGAACCCTTTGGAGGACCTGAGGGGTCACAGCCGCCAGCACGCGTAGCGTGAGCAGCGAGTGCAGTGCCACTAAGCAGAAACGCCCCGGCGCACCGGGGGAGGGGGGGGGGGGGGATCCGCGGCGCGGGGTAGTGCCGCCGCCAGGGCACTTGGACGTGAGGTATCCTTGCGCTCGAGTGAGAGCGAGGGTGTATATTGTTTGTCCACAGGAGGACTGCTCGCCAAAGACATCGCCGCCGTTCCGTTCCCTACCTCGCCGCTGGGTGGCTCGTCCACGGTGTCCGCGAAGTACACTGGTTCCGGGGAGCCGCAGGGCGAGCAGGGCGTCTCGCAGGAGGACAGGGCCGTGGACGGCGGCGGTGCCGGGTGCGGCGGCAGCGGGGGCAGCGAGGACGCGAAGTGCCCCGACGCCACGGACGAGCGGTCGGACCGCGCCGAGCAAGCCCCCAGGCCGCCGTTGGTCCTGCGCAAGGAGAAGACTGTCGTGTCACTACACTGTTCACGCTGCAGTCCTCAAGCAGGCATCAAGGTCCAAGGATGGCCAACAAACGGCTCACGCATTACAACAGACGCCACACACCATGACACCAAGCATTCGGTCTCATAATCTCATACAGACAACGGGTGACTGTGAGCGCATCAAGATTCGAAGAATCTAGGACGACTATTTTGCGTAGGTGACTAGCAGTGGAAGGAAGTGTGATTACACCGAGGCCCGCCAGCCCGTCTTCCAGGGCGGCCATGGCTGCATCCTGCACCGGCAGCTTGTGATGCTGTCAAGCACGCCGCTTGAGCGCACCATGAGCGCACCGGCACCTAAATAGCATCGCTTCCCTCCTGGTCCCCCCACTGTCAGTGCGACGTCTGTCCGTCCGTCTGTCTGTCTGTTCGTCTGTTCCAAGAGTCACGCGCCCGCCACGGCACTGCGCTTCGCCGCACGCACGCTCTTTTGTTTTTCCCGCGTCGGCTATTTTCGGAGATTTGAATCCCCCGCGCAGCGCGCGCAGCATCCCCGCGGTCCGCCGGGTACCTGTCACAACGGCACAGCGACAGCCGGCCGGGAGGCCACCATGAGTTCATCGCATTCACCCACCACCGCGATGGGGGTGTTGGGCATTGTGGAAAATGCAAACAATCCGAAGTGACCTTATACTGAACAGCTCCGCGGCGTCTCGCTGTCTCGCTCCATTGACAGTCTCTTGAGAGGCAGCAAAGACAGAGCTATGGAGCGGCCGTACCTGCTAGCGGGGGGCTGTTGCTGGCAGGGCCCCGGGCAGCCCAGGTACGCCTGCACCAAGGGCACGAAGTACCCCATCTGGGGCGCTGACACCGAGGCAGCGGTGCAGCTGCAGCCCTGCGCCGCCGAGGAGGACCCGCCCGGCACCGTCGGCACGTCGGCCACGCACGAGCAGCGCTTCGCCTGGCCGTGCTGGCCGTGCTGGTCGTCGGGGTGCTCGGCGTCCCCGCCGGCACACGCGCACGGGCACGGGGAGCAGGCGCACGGGCGTGGCAGACGGCCCGCCATGGCACCGGCCGATGCGACTCCGCGACACGCCGAACACGCACTGCACGGCGACGCCGGTAGGCAGCATCGCGGGACTCCCGGCGTCGCGATGGGTCGGGATGCCTTGACGCTCTTGTCGCCGCACGGCCGGTGACTCTGGTGCACTCTGGTGGCATTCCGCGCCGCGACGCCGAGCCGCGAGCCGCGTGAGACGATGCCGGGCGATGCCGTCGCCGCCGCGCGCTCCGCGACGCACTTCACACTGGGTTGCTGCAGGCTGCGGGCCAACTATACGAGCCATACGAACATGATAGGCTAGACCAAAAGTGACCCTGGAGCACGATAAAGGGGCGAAGGGGGACCAAGGGTAATGCGACGCAACGCAACCCCTGCAATCGAACCTTACTGCAACCTGCTCACTGTTTCTGGCTTACTGAAACTCGCTAACTGAATCTTGCTAACTGAAACTTACTAACTGAAACTGAAACTTGCCAATTAAAACTCGCAAAGTGGCACTCGCTGTTGGCTGGGGACTGAGAGGACTGACACTACTCAACTTACTCGCTGAGTGCCCGCGATACTCCTGGCCTTCCCCGTCGCTACCCCGCGCCGAGGCCCTGCCGCGTGGGGTAGGGCCAGGCCTCGCAGCCCTGCAGGCCGCGGCGAGGAGGGGAGGGCGTGGGCAGCGGCCACGTGCCGCAGAGTCTGTATCATTTCTCCTACCTAAATGTTCGCCTACGTTTCTATTTCGCCTACCTATATTTCGCCTACCTAATAAAAGCATTAAATAAAAATATTCGATAAAAATATTCAATAAAAATATGGCTATTTTTCGCCTACCTATAGCGGGGCTGTTCATTAGACCTACCTCACAGTTGACATACCAATATATTTATTAATAAAAATATAAATATAAATATTTGAATAAAAATATGGGACTATAAATAATAGTGTTATAAATATTAACAAAAAAGGTTGACCTACCCCACAGTTGACCTACCATATATTTTTATTATAAATTGTTTTGAAGTATCGTCTACTGTCACTGGGACACTGTCACGCTTCACCTGCCGCGACGTCATCGCGCTTCCCCTGCCGCGACACTGTCGCTCTCCCCGCCGCGACACTGTCGCGCTTCCCTGCTGCGAGGCCGTCGCGCTTCCCTGCCGCGCACTGTCGCGCTTCCCCTGCCGCGACACTGTCGCGCTTCCTTTGCCGCGACACTGTCGCGCTTCCCCTGCCGCGACACTGTCGCGCTTCCCCTGCCGCGACACTGTCGCGCTTCCCCTACCGCGACACCGTCGCGCTTCCCCTGCCGCGACACCGTCGCGCTTCCCCTGCCGCGACACTGTCGCGCTTCCTTTGCCGCGACACTGTCGCGCTTTCCTGCCGCGACACTGTCGCGCTTCCCCTGCCACGCATTACCTCCAAGTCCGCACCGCGCGCTTCCGACCGGAGGACGTGCACTCCACTGCCGCGATGTCGGCTTCTCCTGCCTCCCCGTCGCTTCCCCGCGCGAGCCTGCCGCGTGGTAGGCGGCCTCGCAGCCCTGAGCCGCGCAGGAGGGGAGGGCGTGGGCACGGCCACGTGCCGCAGAGTCTGTATCATTTCTCCTACCTAATGTTCGCCTACGTTTCTATTTCGCCTACCTATATTTCGCCTACC